TTTGATGTCTTTTTTTTTTGAGAAGATGAAGTTAATGTTCAAATCTAAGTAACAAGAATGAGAGAGAAATCAACAACTCCATGGTATTATTTCTGTATTCTATTTTTCTTTTACCAAATTATTTAACCTACAATGTAATTTGAAAATCTATTTCGGAACTTTAAAGTCGTAGAGATGTGATTGATGTTGGATTTGGAGATTGTGGAATCAAAAGGTTTAGCTCGGTAGAATTCTTGCCTTCCGTGCGGGAGACCAGGGTTCAATTCCTGGCCTGGGCACCATCCTGTGGTGTGTTGCTATGATGCTCAACAGGTTTCAGTGGAGCTTCCAGACTAAGATGGACTAGGAAGAAAGGCCTGGAGATCTACTTCCAAATATCAGCAAATGAAAACTCTGTGGATCACAGCAGTCCAGTCCGCAACTGATCATGAGGACAGCAGAGGACCAGAAAGCGTTTCCTTCCATTGTGCGTGGGATCGCCTCCACAGTGGCTAACAACAACAGTTTGGAGAAGAGAAGAGCAGTGGGGCAAAGATCCCAGTTCTACATTTAGTTACTTGTTTCCCAATCAATCCCCAAACAGAAAATGCAGACATCTCACCATGAAACTAGCAACTCAGACATGGAGGAAAATGTTGGTTATAGTTCGGATGAGCTAATTTGTTGAAGATTTGTTGGGATGTCTGCCTCAGTGGCTTTGCCACAGCTGCTTGTAACTGCCTTTTTCCTGTAAGATTTATCTGTCAGGACCTGTGATATTGATACAGAGGATTAAGCTTGAAATTTCAGCCCTTACTTAGAGAAGGAGGGGAAAGATTCATTTCTATCTGGCTGAATGCTACATGAGACATTTGAACCCAAGTGAAAATCCGGGATCAACTTTTGACTGTAATTAGCAGACTTTGAAAGATTTCTGAGGGTAGTTGAAAGGACGAATGTTCTACGATATTGTAGCACCAGGGATAGTGATTTACTAGACCTGAAAGTGTCAAGTTCATGACCTGGATTGAAGATGTTTCAGAAGGAGGTAGTTCCAAGTTGCTGAGGAAGGAATTTAGCTTTTTGTCAGGAGTTAGTATGAGCCCCAGTAAGGAGTTAAGTGTCTTGAAACTGTTATATTTAAGGTTGGGGCGTGGGTGTGGATGGAGAAGATGCAACTATATCATAAGATCCATTTAAATTCATTTAGAGACTGAAAACCCTATGGGTCACAAAGGTCTGATCCGCAATCACTCACGGGGATGGTGCAGGACAGGCAGTGGTTCGTTCCACTGTACGCGGGGTCACATAAGTCAGGTGCCGCTGTTTCTGCTGTAGAGCATATTGTTCATTCCTTCCAGCCTTCCCTTTGCTAAATACATTTTCAGATCTAAGCTAAAATGTGCATAATTTCTCTCCTCAGTAGAGAGGAAAAACAACTTAAAGTCCGTGCCTTCCGGATCAATAGAATCCCCTTCAGCATCCTTGCATATTATCAGGATGAATTAGATGGTGAGAACAAACCAGACCCCCATGCAAGGAGAGTGTATATGTTGTTCTGTGCCATCCAGTTGGTTCTGCCTGATAGCGACCCCATGTACGACAGAACTAAACCCTGCCCAGTCCTGCGCCATCCTCACAATCATTGCTGTGATTGAGCCCATTGTTGCAGCCACTGTGTCAGCCCATCCCCTTGAGGGTCTTCCTCTTTTTCACTGACCCTCTACCTTACCAAGCATGATGTCCTTCACCAGGGACTGATCCCTCCTGGTAACATGTCCAAAGTACGTGAGACGAAGTCTCACCATCCTTGCTTCTAAGGAGCACTCTGGCTGTACTTCTTCCAACACAGATTTGTTCTTCCTTCTGGCAGTCTGTGGTATGTTCAATATTCTTTGCCAACACCATACTTCAAAGACATCAGTTCTTTGGTCTTCGTTATTCATTGTCCAGCTTTTGCATGCATAACCAAAAAAAAAAAACCCTTTCCCGTCGAGTCTATTCTGACTCCTAGCAACCCTGTAGGACAGGGTAGAACTGCCCCATAGGATTTCCAAGGAGCGGCTGCATAGACCTGAGTAAAAGGATAGATGTGAGTGGATTTTTTTCCCTAGCAATGAAAGCACCTTGAAATGGGAATAAGATTGACGTAACCATTTCACATAAGGAGGTTGTCCTTCTTAAAAAATTAAAAAGGAAATGTTATAAAATTTTAAAGATAAACAGCAAATTATATCACTAATATTACAAATGTCTTAATTTTTTCTCATTTCCTGTTGACACTACTACCACGGGAACATATTTTACAAAAGCACAGAGTCATCTTTTTTCTGTATCTTTCAAACTCTGTGAAGATTCGCTAAACCCGAAACCAAACCCGTTGCCATCAAGTCCATTCAAACTCAGTTTTTTTAAAAAAAAATAATGATTCATTAAATTGACCCAATATCTTTTGAATTTACTCTTCTCCCATCTCATTTTATTTCTACAAAATTAGTTGGCTGCCATAACTTTTGCAATCAGTATTTTGTCTGGTTGCATATGGTTGAAATTGTCTGCAAAGGGCATTGAGTAACCTGCTGGTTCTGAAAAGAGTTTGTGATGTATACTTTGCTATTACTAAAAAGCAAATGAATGCCTGACAAATGACATCTTTGTCTTATTTCTTCAGAGCAACATAGAAAAACTAACTGCATGTAGAATGGACAAATGCTTTCCATCTTTAATAAGAAAGAAGCAACAGAAATCAGATTTTTTCTGATTAAAGCCAGACATTTCTGTAAACAGCTCTGCTTCCTGTGTAATCTGGAGTGCATTAAATTCAATTTTATATGGAGGAGATGGAGGTCATTCGTTTATTCAGCTTTGGTTAACTGCTAATAATAAACATATTATTTAATTAATTAACATATTCAAAGAAGATTTTGTTGGTTGGTTGGCTTGGTTATCCTCTTTCATTTTTATGCTAAAGTTTTGAGAAATTTCACAGACAACACCATGACGACAGTAGCAGAGAAAAGGATACAAAAATAAAAATAGAAGTTCACCCCTAAAAAATCACTCTTTTTAGCCTTCTTCCTTCCTTCCAGATCCCTTCGCTTTAAATCTGCAATAGTTGTACAGTTTATGTCTTTTATCATAAAAGCCAAGATTAATCAAGTATTTTTATCAAGAGAATGCTTTATTTAGCTAAATGGCAAACAGGTAGGTATGACTCATTTTGTGTAACAGTAGTGATTCTAAATACGGTGTGTTCCATGTTGACATAAGCTTATATTGGTAGTGGTCTCTAAGTCTTCATCTTCGTGCGTTTCTGTTTCTATAAAAACTCTTAAATGATAGGGAAGCTCAGCACTTAGTAAGTGTCCCGTCCACCCGCTTTGGCCTTTATATAACTTCAGCTGTTCATTTCTTGATTCTCTTTAAGCAGAACATTTCTTTACCTTACCTTCTAGATCTGTAACATGACAAGTAGCCATTTAAGGGTTAATTAAGACTAGAAATCGATACGTATTTGATTTATGGAAATAGTGATAGATTTCAACTTTGGAAGCCTGAAGAGTGACAAAATTGGAGATGCTGTTTGTATTTGCAAATGTTATAAATCAGTTTTTTTCAACGAGCGTTTGTAAAGCACCATGTTTGGAATTCTCTTGGGTAGTCTGGAGGATGTTGGAGATCTGTAAAACTTTGTGTTTACTGTCAAGAAACTTTTTGTGCACTTCCATTTTTCTTCAGGATTTTTTTTAATGTTCTTTAAGTTGGCTGCTTTCAATACTGAGAAATTGCACTTACATATTGATGTGTGAATAATACTCATTGAGTTAGCTTTATCTACTGGGTTAAATGGGAAACTGGGTTATTCCCATCCCAGAAATGCTTCTATGTCTCATGAGCAACAACTCATTTAGGTGTACTGTAGACAATGTATTTCATTTTATTCTGTTTATTTTTCTTAAATAAAATAATTTTTAAGAGTAGTTTTATTCTACAGAGACTGAGGTTGAGAAAATTTTAAGGGTTTGTTTAATAGGGTAAAAAGCTCTTCAGAGAAGGTACCATCTGTGATCTCATGGATTGATGTTATTGACGATGAATGTCGTGAAGTTGAAGGGAATAACATTCGCCATCTGTAGATAAACGTGCAGTAGAAGACAGCAAACATGGCTTCTGTAGTGCTGCCATCTTTACGCATAAATGCAGTTTACTTTATTGACTGATGAGCTGCATGTTCGGTGATGTTCCTTACACTTCGGTTCCTTATTCCTTAGTCGGCTGAGTTATATGCCTCTGTCGTCAAGGCCATCTAGAGATTTTTAGTTTTTATATTTCTTTTACAAATAAGGTATACATATTCATTGCAGATAAATGAGATATACGTGTTAGCAACAGAATACATTTTAAATGAAATACATGTTAGCATATAAAGAGGTAAGAATTCATCCATCACCCAAAGATAATTCCTGTTGGTGTTTTGGTTTTTTTTGTTGATGCCGTGTGTTTTCAGTAGTGGAATGCATGCTGAGTCAGGGAGTGTGTTTACATTTTTGGTTGGTAATATAGCTTTTGAGAAATATTATGGGAAAATACATGAAAATACATCGTTTATGGGAACCCATCTGGTCCACCGGTCTTGGGTAGCAGGCTTTATTGTGGGGCACCTTCTATTTGGGTACATGGGGCACCTCTGATTTTGCCTAATACCCCAGCTATTTTGGTTCAATTAATGTTTCTTTTACCTTCACTGTTACACAAGTCCCTACTGGAGGGAAGCAAATACTTTCAGTGGGAAATGTATCCTCCCAAAGAACTCCAAAGGCATGAAAAGCGAGTGTGATAGTGTATGTTCCATGAGTCATGAAACCCTCCTCCAATTGCTTGGAGTCACACCTCTGTTAACCAGTACGGAAAACACAGCCACCATATTGTGCTGGGAAGCTGAGTCGCCAGCTGGAGGGATGGTGGTCCCAGGCGCGGCTTCTAACCTTCTCCCTTCTCTTCCTCAGGTTGCAGTCTTCAAAATGATTCCCTGCAGAGCAGCCCTGTCCTTTGCCCGATGTCTGATCCGGAGAAAAATTGTCACTCAGGACAGTCTAGAAGATTCCAAATTATGCCGCTGCTTATCCACCATGGACCTCATTGCCCTGGGGGTTGGAAGCACTCTTGGTGCTGGGGTTTACGTCCTTGCTGGGGACGTTGCCAAATCAGATTCTGGCCCAAGTATCGTCATTTCCTTCCTCATTGCTGCCCTAGCTTCCGTGATGGCAGGCCTGTGCTATGCTGAATTCGGGGCCCGAGTTCCCAAGACTGGGTCTGCGTATTTATACACGTACGTGACTGTGGGAGAGCTGTGGGCCTTCGTCACTGGCTGGAATCTCATTTTATCTTATGTGATAGGTATGTCTCAAGATCAGTCTTAGTTGTGTGGAATGGTAGAAAGAGTCCTCCTGGGTCAGAGGCCTGGGGTCCAGTTCTCGGTCTGCACTAGCCAGCAGCTGTATCATCCTGATTTGAGTTACTTGATCCCTGTGTGTCTCATTTTTCTCATCTCTAAAATGTCTCCTCCTAATTTCAAAATTCTGTGATTCAACTTCATCTCTGAATTTGCCTCTTAGCGAGTTTGAAAAACCTGTTGGGTTTTTTAAAGCAAGAATTAGTTACAGTTTTTTAATGTAAATGAAGTTATCAGATTCCAAAGTTATGGAGTTAAACATTTGATTATGATTGTATAATTATAAAATTATCAAGATAATTTCATACGTTGTTCAGAAATTTCAATTCCATGTGAAGTAGCTGGTGTTCATCCTAGAAGAGAGCAGCCAACGTTGCTGTGTTAATTTCCTGCCACTGACCCTGTGTTTTCTAACTGTGTTATGTTTTGGGAAGGTACATCGAGTGTTGCAAGAGCATGGAGTGGCACCTTTGATGAACTGCTTAACAAACAGATTGGCCAGTTTTTCAGAACGTACTTCAAAATGAATTATTCCGGCCTTGCAGAGTACCCAGACTTTTTTGCTGTGTGTCTTGTATTACTTCTGGCAGGTAAAAAAAACAATTATGCTTTTCCCCATGATGAGCCAAAGTAATTGTCCCAGGAAAATAGGTTACTACTGAATTTGGGGTTGGAGTTACTAAAACTAGGTCTGCATATATATTCACACAAGCAGGGACAGATTACCCAATAAGCAAGGTACGCACGGGCTTACTTGTGGTCATTTACTAATCTGTAGTGTGCCGTTTCACCACCTCAAAGATGTGGCGAAACCCACGTGAAATTGCGTACTACAAATCAGTAAGTAAACACAACCAAACCCGGGGATACCTTGCTTACTGGGTAATCCGCCCCTGTACACAGTATGTCACTGTTGTAGAGCTGTAGGACTTATCACTGTCTGGATTCACGTTCTACCTGAAGTGGTGTTTCAAAATCAATCTGAATTGTGTGGAAAGGAAAAAGAGCAGTTCTGAGTATATAGCATCTGGAATGCACCAAATTATAGGATGGGGCAACATCCGTTGCATACTACTAATCAGAGGTTTACAGACATGGAAATGCAGTGTCAGTAAGGAAGAATGTATAATTTTTTGGCATTAATTCAGCTTATTAGGTACAACTAAGGGTATCTGAAAGCATACAATTTCTAGAAGAAGTCTTATTTTTCTACGCATGCCTTCATGGCTGTATATAATTGTAGGCATCTGGTTGAAAAGGAAGCTTATTCATACCACCTGTTGTTGCCATCGTAGACATGATGTAGACATACTTGGTACTGGAATTCTTCAGTTTTTATCAGTGTTGTAGCTTAGGGGTATAGAAAGGGCACAAGGAAACTTCCTGGCTTTATGATATTGAGTGATTTACTTAATCTTTCCATGACTCAGTTGGCCCGATTATGAGTCTATCAGTGCCTCCCTCATACAGGCTTCTTGCCTGATGTATAGTAAGCATTCCAGTGTTAGCCAATGTTGCTTTGTAGGCGGTTGTCCCTGCAGTCCCCTTATATTTGTTGTTTTAGTTATTGGAACATTTTCTGTTTTGATTGTCATCCTTACGTGTACTCCTGCTCAAACCCATCAGTCACCTGCCATTGCACGTTGGATAAAATCCACGCTTGTTCCCACTTTCTACATGATTTACCCTGGATATTATGCCCTTTGCTTTCCTGTTCAACCTTATCTCTAGCTAATTTCTCCCTTGGTTACAAGGGTGTGACAGAAATGTCTTCCTATTATACAATGTCTACTTGCAAAATTATGTAATTTTAAAAATAACGTTACTTTTGTAAAAGTTAGTTGTTTAAATGTTTTACATACGGGTTGGGATAGGGACATGAACAAAAAGTTTAAAATATTTTGCGTTTTGCTTCTAATATCGAGAAAAAATGCATCAGTTGTCTTTTTTTTAAATTGAACTGTAGATGAAGGTTTACAGAACAAACTAGCTTCTCATTAAACAATTAGTACATATATTGTTTTATGGCATTGGTTAACAACTGCCTTCTCGAGCTTGGTTTCCCTATCACCAGTTTTCCTGTCCCCTCCTGCCTTCTAGTCCTTGCCCCTGGGCTGGTGTGCCCCTTTAGTCTCGTTTTGTGCTATGGGTCTGTCTCATCTTTGGCTGAAAGGTGACTCTCTGGAGTGACTTCATTACTGGGCTGAAAGGGTGTCCAGGGGCCGCGCTCTCGGGGTTGCTCCCGTCTCTGTCGGGCCAGTGAGTCTGGTACCATCAGTTGTCTTTTTAAAAGGCGATAGATTCTGGTTTCTGTTTGCTTGTTTCTAAAGTGCCTAGCTAATACTGTATTACTTACATCATATTTTATTTAGGGATGATTTCAATGAACTTAAATACCCAGCTTTCGTCTTTAAATGATGAGAAGCACGTAGCTGTGGCACAATTAGAATCGTTAATTTCCATGGTGACACTCAGGGGTCGGCCTGCATTGTTTGTCCTAATTTGCCCAGTCATATTTTTCCTAAGGAGCCTGCGTGGTGCAAGTAGTTTTTGATTGGCCGCTAACCCAAAGGCTGGTGGTTCGAACCCACCCAACTACTGTGCTGGCTGGCCTGGTGAACTGCTTCTGTAAAGATCACAGCCAAGAAAACCCTATGGAGCAGTTCTTCTCAGTAACACAGGGGGTGGCCATGAGTTGGGGTCAACTGGACAGCAGCCACCACCACCACCAACAAATATAGGCTAAGCTTACATAACGACCTTGTTCTTAGCCTCTTTGAAGATCAAACCCTCCTGCTGTAAGTCTTTATTCATACTGTAATGCTAAATGGCTTGTCAGCTGAAGCTGTACAAGGGAAAACCCAAAACCAAACCGGTTGCCGTCGAGTCCATTCCGACTCATAGTGACCCTATAGGACAGAGTAGAACTGCTTCACAGGGTTTCCAGGGAGCAACTGGTGGATTTGAACCGCTGACCTTTTGGTTAGCCGCCAAACGCTTAACCACTGCATCACCAGGCCTGGTGCAAGGGAAGGATATGCAGACTTTAGATGAGATATTCTTGGATTTCTAACCTACTGGTGGGAGATGGGAGTCTCAGGGTAGAGGGTGCATGTGGGGTATTGGGAAACTTGGACGGTGTGTCATCCAAGGTGTTTAGCAGCGGTGCCTAACCTAATAGACAGCTACAGAGTCAGTAATTGTGATGACAATGCAGTTTTCCTTATACCCTTAGTACCCTTATTATGGGATCTGGGGATTATGCAGGTAGAAGAATGAAATTCAACTTCTGTCATCTCTACTTGGAAAGTTTAACTTATTTGATGGTGCGTGGTCTAGATATGGAGGATCCCTGGTAGCACAGTGGTTAAAGCACTCAGCTGCTAACCAAAAGGTTGAGCGTTCAAACCTACTAGCTGCTCCACAGGATGTGGCAGTCTTCCTCTGTAAAAATTTACAGGCTTGGAAACCCTAAGGGGCAGTTCTGCTTTGTCCTGTAGGGTCACTATGAGTTGGAACCGACTCAGTGGCAACAGTGTGTTTGGTATAGATATGGGGAATAAGCAGGTAAATATGTGGAATAATCTTTTCACAGTAATCATTTTTCCGGTTGTACAAAATAAACTTTCTTAGGTCCATAATTCACATCTTATACCAGACGGATTAAAGATACGAATATGAAAAATATGATCATGAAACTACTACAGGAAATGAAGATGAATGTTTTGGGGTTAATGTTGGGGAAAATCTTCCTGAAGGTAGAAACTGAAAAGAAAAAGTTTTATAGATCGGATTAATACAATTCTAAAACTTTCCTGTATATATAACCAACAAGGTTAAAAGCAAATTATAAACTGGAAAAAATATTTAGGCAGAGAGTTTATAGCATTAATATATAAATAACTATTAAAAATGAATATGAGCGAGAAGAATATGCTAATAGAAGAAAATGGGCAATTTAAATTGGACCAAACTTTCTGGAGAATATTTTGACAATATAAACTAAAAACCTTCCATGAAAATGCATACACTTACACAGCATTACCTTATAGAAAATTATTGTAAAGAAATAATTAGAAAGTGTACAGAGATTTATAAAAGGATGATTATATCAGTACTGTTTATAGGTGTAAAAAATTAACAGTGACCTAATTGCCTATAAATAAGGGATAAAAGTAGTGGGGAAAAAAAAAACCTGTTGCCATTGAATTGATTCTGACTCATAGTGGCCTTATAGGACAGAGGAGAACTCCTCATAGGGATTCCAAGGCTGTAAATCTTTACAGAAGCAGACTGACACATCTTTCTCCCGCGGAGCAGCTGGTGGGTTTGAACTGCTGACCTTTTGGTTAACAGCCAGGTGCTTTAACCACTGTGCCACCAGGGCTCTCTTGATTAAAGTCTATTACCTTATGTAGTGGAAGATTATGTGGCTTGTAAAAAGTGAATCTGAGCATTATTATTTGTGGACATAGAAGTATGTGTGTGTGTGTTTGCATGTGCAAAATTCTGGAGTGGATCTTTATTTTTCTTCATAGTTTTGCTGTAGTTTCAGATTATTTGACTAGGAAATTGATTACTTTAATCAGGATGTAAAATAAAAACCTCCTCCCCCCCAAAAAAAGAAGAGAAAACAAACCTGTTGCTGCCGAGTCGATTCTGACTCGTGGCGACCCCACGTGTTACAGAGCAGAACTGCTCCGTAGGGTTTCCTTGGCTGAAATTGTCACAGAAACGGAGCGCCAGGCTTTTGCTTCCAGGTAGGTTCCAACCACCAACCTTTAGGTTAGCAGCCGACTGCGCCCCCAGGGGCCTAGAATGTGAAATAAAGCTATTAAAATGAGAATCCGTTTCACGAAGTACTTTTGTTTTTTACAAAGTACTTTTTTTGACATGACACTTGAAGAATTATTTTCTGTTTATACGTTCAGTAAATACAGGGCAGACATGTGATTGAGTTTTTACTTTCAAAAATCTAGGAACCATTAACCTCGATGGCTTTTTTAAACAGCATTTCATTAAAATTGAGTGTTACTTTACCTCTAACCGAGAAGGTCTGTGGTCCGAACCCACCAGCCGCTCTTTGGGAGAAAGATGTGGCAGTCTGCATCTGTAAAGATTACAGCCTTGGAAACCCTCTGGGGCAGTTCTACTCTGTCATACAGGGTCGGTATGAGTCGGAATCGACTCGAAGGCAGTGGGTTTGGTTTTTGGTTACCCTCTGGTGATAATAGTTAAAGTTACTAAGTTTATATATTTATTAAAGAGCGTGGTGTCTCCGGACTGTGAGCATGACCTGTCTGTCTCCTGAAATTAAACTGGTGTATCCAGAAGACATTGTCCCTCAGTCAGGTGACTGTTAAGAACCCACAATAGAAATGAATAATGCAAGTGAAATACATGCATGCTGGCCTATAATAGCCTCAGAATGCCATTGCCTTTCCTAAAGCTGAGGTAAAAATCAGAATGCCCTTTCTTTTTCCACAGCTCTTTTATCTTTTGGAGTGAAAGAGTCTGCTTGGGTGAATAAAGTCTTCACAGCAATTAATATGCTGGTCCTTCTTTTTGTTATGGTGGCTGGGTTTGTGAAAGGAAATGTGGCAAACTGGAAGATTAGTGAAGAATTTCTCAGAAATATATCAGCAAGTGCCAGGTAAAATATTGTTCTTCTCCTGTTTTGATTTTCTTTTTTTTTTTTCCCCCTGCTTTTTGTTTTATGTGACATTTTAAGAGCACATACATGATCTTTTCCTCTCGAGTGATGGTTCTCAAACTTTTCGCTTCTGAGACCTTTCTGAGGGGCTGTTCTATCCCAGGCTCCCTCCCAAACGATAGATATTGTGTTAATTTGCTAGGGCTGCTATAACAAATCATCATGAAGTGGACGACTTAAAATAACAGAAATTTTCGTTTTGTATAGTCATGCGCCACAGAACATCTGACCACATATCCACTCGTGGTCCCATAAGGTTATAGTAGACTTACGTACAACCCATAGTTATGAACCAAGCCCATAACACCTCTTATATTTAAAATACGAGGTACATAGAATGGTTCGTAATAACAAGCGGGCTACTTTGCGACGCGCATCAAAGCATTATTATTATTGTTCGTGCTTTATTATGTTATAGATGTTTTAGTGTATCTGGAAGTGTTTCTTTAATGTTTTTTATGCATAGAAAAGTACACTTTATACTATATATCAAGACAAACATTTGACTAACTGACATCAGCTACGAACCATACCTAACTGTTCCAACTGACGTACAAATTCAACTTAAAGACAGATTAGGAACAGAACTTGTTCGTAATCCAGGAACTGCCTGTATAGAATATGAACGTCCGAATCACGTAACCTCGCATGTCATAGAATGTGAATGTTAAGCAATGCACGACTACGTATGTAAGTTCCAAAGAGCTGATGAGTACAGCCACCTCCCAAGGAAGTAGTGTGAAATAATGTTTCTAGGAGAGGCAGTTTTCTATGAAAATAACTTTCTGATGGGTTTGTTCCCTTCCTTAGAAAGCTACCTTCTGAAAATGGAACCTATGTCTATGGAGCTGGAGGCTTTATGCCTTTCGGCATTACAGGAACTTTGGCTGGCGCTGCAACCTGCTTTTATGCCTTTGTGGGATTTGATTGCATTGCAACAACTGGTAAGAGCAGATTCTTGGCTCTGTGTATCAGGAGGCGTTCCTTTATCCCATGAGTACCCATGAGCACAGAGGAGGTTTGAGGAAAAAGAATGGGGTTTGGGGTAAGAAAGGCTGTTCCCAACCAGCTCTACCAAAAAAAAATTCCATTGCTGTCGGGTCGATTCCGACTCATAGCGACCCTATAGGACAGAGTAAAACTACCCCATAGGGTTTCCAGGGAGCGGCTGGTGGATTCGAATTGCTGACCTTTTGGTTAGCAGCTAAGCTGTTAACCACTGCGCCACCAGGGCTCCAACCAGCTGACACCTGCAATATAGGGTAAAAAGAAACTCAGTGAGACACTCTGAGCCCTGCTTGCTTTATTGTTAAAATCGGGAGCACGGTCCTGCCTCTCAGACCTTGCGAGGATTATCTAAGATAGTAATACACAGGAAAAATCCTTTGCAAGCTGTCAAATACTTATAAATGTTAGTAGTTATTATGGCCTTAGCTTTCTCCGAAAGTGCTGTCAGTATGAGTAACAAATAATGATCCTGCATTTAAATAGCCTTTTCTCTCGTAGGACAAAATCTTCTGTGTTAATTCTTTTTTCTTTATCCTATATAAAAAAGTGATAATGTCAGATCACTCTCTCAGCGTTTCATATGGGTTGATATCATTGCAGGGCCTTATACTTGACCATGTTTTGGATATTTCAAATGCCAAATCTTATTAAAAGGATTCAAAGTATACTATTTTTTTTTTAACTGAAACTAGAGTGTCCTATAAATCGAAGTTTATTGAAGCCTTCCTAGTTCAGGGCCTGCAGGGTGCCCTGACTGTCATTTAATCTCTGTGGATGAATCTTTCTCTCTGTGGATTAAGCCTGCTGTTCTGTTGCTCACCATTTAATAGCACTGATGCGCCAGGCTTTTTCTTTCTGGAGACAGGAAGCTGACTTCCATGACTTCTTCCTTTTTCTGCTCCCTCTGGGATCTGGATTTTTTAATGGCGTAGCAAAGTTCCCTCAAGAAGAGAGGAAGTTTCACATAGAATAGATGACTTAAGCTAAGAAAACAGGAGGGAGAAAAGCAGAGTTGCTTGCCACCAAGGAGGAGAGGAAGAATTTGATACGAAATAAACCCTTTCCTAGTCACGTTTTATTAAACACACACCTCTTTTCTTATATTTCCTTAGGTGAAGAAGTCCGGAATCCCCAGAAAGCTATCCCTATTGGAATTGTGACTTCTTTACTTGTTTGCTTTATGGCCTACTTTGGCGTCTCTGCAGCTTTAACGCTTATGATGCCATACTACCTCCTCGATGAAAAAAGTCCCCTGCCTGTAGCATTTGAATATGTCGGATGGGGTCCTGCTAAATACGTCGTTGCGGCTGGCTCCCTGTGTGCCCTGTCAACCAGGTACCTTGCATTGTCTTCTGGACAGGGGCTCTTCGGGTTACTGCAAAGCCTTGTCAGTGCTGGAGAATTGCTTTCGTATGTTTTTTAAATATCCTAATACAAAGAACAGATATACAAACAACGCCTTCTCTGAATGGTTTGCCCATAATTGCTATATACAAATGTTAAGTGTTAACGTTTCCCCCCCATCAGTTAACCATCAGTATTTCAATAAAATAGTGGTTCGAGCTTCAGTAGAAGTATCTATGGCATCCGCACATACATACACAATAAATCTCACACATATTCATAGGTGTATGTATTATAAAACTTTAGGATGAGGTTGTTTGAATAATTTTAAATAACCATTCACAGTGAGGTAACACGCTTTATGGAGACACTTAAAAGGATGCTTATAGCTAGAATGTCGTCTTCTGTCTTTGGTGTAACAACCGAGACCCTATGTGCAGACTTGACATTTTCTGGTCTGTCTTTTAGAGTCAGATTGAGTCTGTGTAAGCAGAAGCTATGTTTTGGCGTTGTTAAATATAGTGTGTTTTTATTGTGAAGCGCTGAGACTTCCCCTCCTCACGTTGATCAGAGTGAATCTGGTCTAGAAATAGGCATTTCCATTCTCAGTTGAAGGCTGAAAACGCATGTAATATCCGTGTGAAAAGAGAAGAGTAGGCCAATCTCACGCGTTCAGATTCTCAGAAGCTGCTTGTTTTAATACCTTAGGACTCCTTCTCAGGTCTCCTGAGCTTCTCTTATTTCACATTCACATATGATCGTAAGCAGGAGATTTCCCTGGAGTTACACAGAATGCTGTACAGCAGTGCGTCCTTACACAGAAAAGATGAGTCTCTGCCTGATCACTCATTTTATAAAGTGTAAGTTTTCTAAAGGTCTGAAAAAGAAAAAACTCTGTGTATATAATTCATTGACACAGCTCTATTATTTCCCTCCACTTCCTTTTTATTTGCTATTCAAGATAATATTGAGTAGCAATTAGAAATTACGCACATTGGTTTTTCAGCCGCCTGCTAGTGTGAGGTTTATTTTGAATCGTTTCAAATAGTTTCAAAAGTCTGAACTGTGAAGATGCCATTCCCCCATGGTTTTAGAAGAGGTAGGCAAAGATTCATCCATGGCTAAGATCCTCCTAGATTTATTAAAAGGTAAAGAAAGAAGATGGGTTTTTTTAAAAGTAAAATATTTTTCCTCTTTTCTCTTAAGTGACTGTTTTTTAAAACTAAGTCATAGATGGAATGGTGGAACCACTAACCACACAAGTAATTCAAAATATCTTAAGCAAAAATCATTTTCCTAAACTTCACTGTTACTAACTTTTAACCTTGACCAATTCTAAGTACTAAATTTGTAGTAAGTTGATTTTTTTTAAGCTTTTTTCCGTCTTGATTATCTTATGATATTGGTGATTATTACTAATTGGATCAATGATCAGGCTATATGAGAAAAAAATAATGGTAAAATAATTACACAAAATATATAATTACTGAATAAATGCGGTGGCTATGCTTTGAAATAAATTATTTAATCTCTTTAATTAAATATCAGTTTACGAATTATGTTTTCTGAAATGTTGCTGCTAAAAATGCTGTAATGATATGTTTGGTTTTGGATTTTTTCACAAGATTTTAATTAATTAGTTTTAATTCAGTAATAATCATGGACATGTACAGATTACTTGCCGTATTGTTTTTAATCTGATAATTTTGCTGAGCAAATATCTGCAAAGAATGTGACGTAAATATTGACAAATATTTAAATGCCCAATCATAATGCATTTTTTACAATAATATGAGTTGGTAATTACAGCTATTATGCTGAGTTTTATGCAGTTATTTTAATTCTTGGACATAATCTTGCATGAACATGTTTGCCATACTGCATGTGTTTGCTTTTTATTCAGTCTTCTTGGATCCATTTTCCCAATGCCTCGTGTCATCTATGCTATGGCGGAGGATGGGTTGCTTTTCAAATGTCTAGCTCAAATCAATTCCAAAACGAAGACACCAGTAATTGCTACTTTATCATCAGGCGCGGTGGCAGGTGAGAGACAGTTGACTTTTATAAGCCAAGGGGGATCTTTTCCATCAAGGACTCTAAAATAGAGCAAGCTAGGTGATTTTCAGTTGTGATTTACATGAAAGTCAGTAACTTTTGTGCGAGTGTTTTCTATTTTGAATTTTTTTTTTTTTGGCTTAGGTTCCGCACTTCAGCGTGTCCAGTCTTGACCTGTATATGCCTTTGTAGACTACTAATAACATCTCACATGTGGATTATGAATTTTTCTGTTCTAGTCTTCTGGGCTCTATGTTCCCTTTACCCCGCATTCTGTTTGCCATGGCCCGGGATGGTTTACTGTTTAGATTTCTTGGCAGAGTGAGTAACAGGCAGTCACCAGTTGCTGCCACGTTGACAGCAGGGGTCATTTCTGGTAAGCTCTACAAACCCAGGCTTCTTCAACATTGGACTTGAATGCTTTGGGCCGGTGCATGCACTTATCAAGAGGGTCTGCTTGCTGTGCATGGAAGTTAAGAACAAAATCGCTGGTGAATTAGGGTGTGAGCATTGGGATGACAGCTGAAAATTGTGGTGCTGGTGGTGTGCTGGAATTCCTCCTCAGCCGACCTCTGGGGCTTTTGACTGTTCCGTTATTTTAACCTTTGGGCATGTAATGAATGTGCGAAGGGTTGTGGCGGTTCTTCATTACGTATCAGGGGTCAGATTCTGTACTGATGGAGGAACTAGCGCGTAAAATCGTATTCGTGACGTGAGATCTTAAGGGATGATGGCTTAATGTTTGAAATATTAATTTAAAATAACGATTCAATGTTTTCCGTCTTGCTCAGGATGCAAGTGAAATATTGCTATAAAGGGTCACAGAATTTTTTGAAAACAAAACAACAAAAACCCTCAACTGTGCCCATTGTTCATTAAATATTAGAAATGCCAAAGGCAATTTACGCTTGGTCATGGTAGCCACTGTCCCCAGAAGTGGGTGTCCCCACTCCCTGGCCCGTCACGGTTCTCTAGGACTTGTTCACACCCGGGTCCTCTCAACCCCCTTACGAGTCTGTTTTTTCCTTCCAACTCTTTTAGTACTGAAGTCACGCTCAGGAAAGCCAGATATCTACTTCTTGGCATGTCATGATATGCCGGAGTACAGTGTCTTTGACCAGACTCTTATTTTATGCAGAAATTTTCGAAGAGATCCTATAGCTGGAATGGCCTTAAAGGTACTGGTATAGGAAGGAAGAGAAAGACTTAAGCAAACATTATAGATAAAATGCTCTCGGTGGTAGAAATTCATACGCGAATGACGATTGTGTTAGGGCTCTGAATCATTGGGAAACTAGATTAGAGGATGCTAATAATTATGTATGAAGTTGGATTTTGTCAGGATCAGAAGATATTTGCCTCAACAGCCTACTTTTGTAAAAGTTTTCTCATAAATTTGGCACTTTATTAGGCATAGTTGGAAGGGTGAGTCACCTATTTTCTCAGGGCTTAGATCTCCATCCCCGTAAAAAAAAGGTTGCACTAGGTGATCTAAAACCCAAACCAAAAACCAACCCATTGCCGTCAAGTCGATTCCGACCCATAGCGACCCTGTAGGACACGGTAGAACTGCCCCACAGGGTTTCCAAGCAGCGGCTGGTGGATTCGGACTGCCGACCTTTTGGTTAGCGGCCAAGCTCTACACTACACCACGATACCACTACACCACCAGGGCTCCAGGTGATCTGTGGCCCATTCGATTGTTAAACAGTGCTTTATGATATTGAAAATAGTTTATGAATGTTTCTAGACAAAAGATCAAACATTCTGTTTACTCCATAAAAGCTTTTATTTTTTTTTTTCTGATAACAAACTTGTCCAGTAATTCTCTACTTTGTATTCAGAATTTTTGAAAAATATATCCTTCTTCTTCATTCAGGAGGAATTTAATTTGGCAGCACAATCAGTAATATATTGAAATTAGTAGTTATAATAAGACAATTGTAATAGAAAGCTTTTTAAAACTGCCCTAAAAAATATATTGTTGTTATTTTGTACCCTCACACGTTACTTTGCTTATTTTTAACTTAGATCAGAGAACCCGTATGGATAATAATCATTTTCTGTATTTTGGGTACTGTATTTTGGTTGTTTGTGATTCGCACAAAACATATTGTAAATTTATTAGTCTAAGGAACATGCGGAGCCCTGGTGGCACAGTGGTTAAGAGCTCAGGCTGCTAACCAAAAGATCGGCAGTTTGAATCCACTAGCTGCTCCTTAGAAACCCTATGGGGCAGTTCTACTCTGTCCTGTAGGGTCGCTATGAGTGGGAATTGACCCAACGGCAACAGGTTTGGGGTTGGTTATTTACTATTGTAGACAGGGACAACTATGTGGCAAATTCAAATTAATAAGTTTCACTATTTTGATGTTTCCATGGAGAAAAAAGTTTCCAACTGTGAGTTAACTGTTCAGCTATGTAAATTATATTTTGTCTTTTAACATTATTGGTTCTGCTCAGAGTGCAATCAGAGTCGAATTTAGCCTATATCACAAACATAATTTAATTGAAAATTATTTTATTTTGCATATGCTATAACTCAAAATGCAGATGGAAATTAAAATGATTATATACTATCCCTTATTGAACATTCTTCTGCTTGAATTTTTTATAGTTTAAAAAAAGAAGCTACCCAATATTTCCTAGCGATGTTTTTTTCTGAACCATCAAAAGACAGAGGGCTGTCCTATAATATTTTCATTCTTTGTTAGACCAAGTACTTTTTAAATGATCAAAGTAGACGTGTTTTGTACTTGATAGATAGTTGAGGGTTTTTGAAGTTTAATTAGCAGCTTGGTGCTCTGGTGGCGCAGTGGTTAAGAGCTCAGCTGCAAACCAAAATGTCGGCAGCTCGAATCCACCAGCCGCTCCTTAGAAACCCTGTGGGGCAATTCTACTAGCAGTTTATATGACCTAAAGAACATCTTACTAACTGTGAGAAATATATTTTCCGTACTTTGTGTGACCCATCATTGGTACTAAAACAAAAAAGTGTCACTCATTTGTCCCTAACTTGAAAGATGGGTTCTGTATGGAATCTAATCCTAGGCCTCTCTTTGTTTTCTGTTCCCGATAGCTGTGATGGCGTTTCTGTTTGACCTGAAGGCGCTCGTGGACATGATGTCCATTGGCACTCTTCTGGCCTACTCTCTGGTTGCAGCGTGCGTCCTCATCCTCAGGTTAGTTGTCTTTGCTGCCAGCTGGTTTGAAGAGTGTGTGTCCTGCGGGACGCAGGGAGTGTAGAAAATGAGGGCCCACTGCCCTTGCTTTCAGAGAGCCACAGATCTCACAGAAGAGAGAGTCCACGTACACACAAACATAAAGTGGGATAAGCATCCTCAGTCCTTAGCAAAGAATCAAATACAATGTAATTGATAACAAATAATAGGTTGGCTAATCTATATAGGAGGCACGTTGTCATAATGGATAAAGACATTTAAAAATACTCATACGTTCTAAATGTTCTGCATCCTACTTTGGTGAGTGGCGTCTGGGATCTTACAAGCTTGTAAGTGGCCATCTAAGATGCATCAATTGGTCCCAACCACCCGGAGTAAAGGAGAATGAAGAACACAAAGACACAAGGAAAGCATTAGCCCAAGAGACAGAAAGGGCTACATAAACCAGAGACTTCATCAGCCTGCGACCAGAAGAACTGGGTGGTGCCTGGCTACCACCAGTGACCACCCTGACAGGGAACACAACAGAGAGTCCCTGATGGAGCCGGAGAAAGGTGGCGTGCAGAACTCAAATTCTAGTAAGAAGACCAGACTTAATGGTCTGATTGAGACTGGAGGAACCCCGGAAAACATGGTCCCTGGATACTGTATCAGCCCAGAACTAAAACAATTTCCGAGGCCACCTCTTCAGGCGGGGATTGGACTGGACTCTGGGACATAAAGTGATAGTCGTGAGGAGTGTGCCCCTTAGCTCAAGTAGGTACAAGAGACTAAATGGGCAGCTTCTGTCTGCAGGTGAGATGGGAAGGCAGAGAGGGTTGGGAGCTGGTTGAATGGACATGGGGACTCAGGGTGGAAAGGAGAAGTGTGCTGTCACAGTATGGGGAGAGCAATTAGGGTCATATAACAATGCATGTATAAATTTTTGTATGGGAGACTCACTTGAAATGTAAACTTCATTTACACTATAGCAATAAACAAAAAGAATATTCATACATTCTGTCCTACTAATTGGACTGCTAAGATTTTATACTAAAGATTCAATCAAAGAGGCACACACAGATCTATGTAAAGGATGTACATGGAAAATCTAATTTACAGTAGGGAAAAAACTGAACTAACCTGAACACGGTTAGATAAATGAGGGTGCATTTATTCTGTGGACTCTTATACAACAAACAAAATGATATTAAATTACTTGGGGAAACGTATCAGTTTTAGGATGCAAAGCTAGATATAGCATCTGAATTTATTTAAATAGTGCCCCATAAATTTATATGGAAAAGCTATAATCCTATATATGTAGTCTATGTGTGTCTATTGTTACCGTGTGGTGTTGAATCAATTCTGACTCTTAGCAACCCTATATGACAGAGTAGAACTGCCCTGCAGGGTTTCCTAAGCTATAGTCTTTATGGGAGCAGATCACTAGGTCTTTTCTCTTGCCAAGCAGCAGGTAGGTTCAAACCTCTGACCTTTTGATTAACAGCTGAGCGCTTAACCATTGTGCCCCCAGAGCTCCGTGGGTGTGGGTGTGTGGGCGTGGATGTGTGCTTGTGGGTGTATATACACACACACATATATATTTATGCCCAGACGCCTAGATGAAATTGTACCAAGATGCTAACAGTGATTAACTTCGGGTGGTGGTATCATGGATGATTATAATTTTCCTTATACTTTTGTGTATTTTTCTTCAGCGAGCGTATTTCTTCTTTATATGGAGGAGAATGTTAGTTCCAAAAATAAGTAAAGGGAACTCGAAGGTGGAGGGAGACCACACTGGGGAGTCTAGAGCAGACACCGTGAGGTGACGCAGGCCGATGTCTTGACATAGCCTGTAAAGGATGAGGGTAGAATGAAAAAGGAGCACGCCACACTGGGGTTGGGGAGGAGGGCTGGGAAGGTGGCAGTCGGGACCAGGGTGTCTGGGCTTCAACTGGAAGGAAAGCTGAGGAGGTGAGGACTGAGGGGTAGGTGGTGATGAGGCCTTTGCACGCCAAACTGAAGAGGTTTTCCTTTATTCTATAGGGTCGCTATGAGT